CATAAAAGAAGACAGAAGTAGCAACGAAGATATGCGAAGTTGTCTCTTATCTTATCCCGGGATAGTGTCAAATGAATCCATGATTGAAAGACACAGTATATTGAAAGCAGGATTCGCATTTCCTTTTCTTGTCATTGCGATATTTCACTCACAGCCTATACTTTTCCGCAGTTTTTTGTTCGCATCAACGCAAACAGGAATCGCTCGGTGAAAAACTGTCCGAGGGACGAACCGGGCTCTATGTTTAAATCCAAACGAACATCTGCCATACTTTAAACATGTCTTCTTTCTCTTATTTCACACAGTGGAAAATGTCATTTGAGAAGAAGCTATGAAAAATAGATTTATTACGAGAATCCCAAATCGTAGTTAAATCCGAGAGAGCCTTCAGCATATCATACAGAATTTACTGAAGAAAAAAAAATTATCTGTGCTTATTAGGATTCAAAGAATAATCCTTTATAATGAATTTCTGGAACATAAAAAAACTGTTAACATCATAGAAAAACGTTTTATTTTTTTTTCTAATCTAAAATAATATATTCAGAATATTTAGAACAATAAATTCTGAAAGAATCAGAAAGAGTCAGTTAAAATTAATTGATTGATTTGTTTTCTTTACGACTTATCAATCTTTTGCGGGTTATTTAAAGCCAGAAAATATTTTTAGATTGTAATTATTTTTTGGAGATAATAATGATTTACTGATAGAAGTCCTACTAATTAACTCTTTAGCTGGTAGAGGAGAATAGGTGGATTCATACCTTTTCCAAGTGTATTTGCGTAAGTGAATATTGACGCGACTGAAATAAGAATTCGGATCTCTGATTTCCAATTTGGAGCCGTTATTTATTACACCACACGCACATCCAAGTTTAGAGAACCGGCTATTCCCAAACGGCTATCTAGATACGGACTAGGTTCGACCTTGCATGGTTAAACTGATCTCCATGGACAAACAGGTAGCGGCGCACTTTGACTCGAAAGAGGTTTCCCTGATGGAAAAAAAATGGGTTGAGATTCCTGTCGGATCACAATTTTTTTCTGAAGTATGACTACTTAATTTAGGTAGTTATTAATTCTACCGTTTAAGAAATCGTTGACTTTATCTCGTGTCCAATGATTTAATTTCTTTTTCTGATCGCTTTCTTTATGATGATGGCGTTGATGACAAAGTAGACCAATTCTTGTATGGAAGAACGGATGGCATTGATTGCATCATAATGTTGATAGAGGAAGAGGTTGATTTTGTCGAGCCTTTCTCTCTTACCGTTTGACTTCTTGTTTTTCTCTTCTGGTGTCTTCGAAGTTTTTGGTTCCGATGGTGATCGAACACCGGCAGTTGGCACGGTTTCTGGTTTGTGTTTTAAACGATTTAGGCTCAAGTCCAATGACTTTTAGTGTTGTTCTGAATGGGTACTTGTCACTTCGAAGAACGCAAATGCGTGGTCTTTTCACTGAAGTGAAGTGAGCTCACTGAACAAGACTTGACCTAGACACCTTGACTCTTCCATACTTGCTACATGTCCTGACCATCGAAGATGGCGTTTCATGATCAGTGATCCGGCGCTTTAACTGTTGGTTCTTTCCAAGACTTTGTTGTTGGCCACATAACATTCCCATTCGATGTTCAAGATTGAATGAAGCTATGGCTGGTTAAAGTGTACTAACATTTGGATTTCGAGACGTTATAGAGTTCGGGTTTTACAGCCATATAGTAAAGTCGAAACGGCAACAGCATTAATCTTTGTTAAGTTTTGTTATTGAAGACGCGTTTGATTAGCTTTTTCCAAATGTTCCGTGTGCACCCAATTCTGTATTCCATATCCTTTTCTTTGATAAAAAGCTGTCTCAGTATGGAAAATGTTCTACTCGTTCGAGAGCTGTATCAGAGATGGTAATATCAAAATATGGTAAGATGGTATTTAGGGCTGGCTTTGCACGAACCTTTGTTTTCTTGTTGTTTACTGAACGGCCAAAGCGAAATAAGAAATTATGTCGGGTAAGAATTCCATTTATGAAATTACTTGTTTACGTTTCATGTAGGAAAACAGAATCTAGGAGATACAGATTCGTTCCTAACGAGAAATGTGCTTTTGTTAAACAGGCAATTCAACATTTTTTCTGACAGGATGGTTACTGTGAGCAAACTGATAGTGGCACATTTGGGCTCAAAAAGTGGTTTCCCCTAATAGAAAAATGCGGTGCAGTTTCGATTCCTGTCGGTGGTGCAACTTTTATCTTTTGTAAGACTTATTCATTTAGGCCGGTTGCTATAAATTTCACCGCTTAAATAAGAAAAGCATATATATACAGGGTGTCCATAAAGTCTTTTTACAATTTAAAAAAAAATTACAAAAGAAAATAAACAGAAAAATACGTGGAAATTGTTATAAAAAGCTGAGTAAATATTGAAGTTTTTTGTAACTAATTTAATACACTTCTTTATGGGCACCATTAGTTGCACGAATCACATCAAGACGCCATTCGATTTCTTGCCATGTTCGCTGAGGCATAGCCTCATCAATGATGGCAATGGCATCAGTGATCTTTTGCTTTAGTTCAGTGATGTTCCATATCATTGGACGATACACTATATCTTTAACATAACCCTATAGAAAGAACTCCAGGGTAGTGATATCTGGTGAACGAGGTGGCCAGGGAATTGGGCCATCTCTTTCAGTCTATCGGTCGGGAAATGTTAGGGGTTCATTTAACAGTACCTCTTCATCAACTAGTTACCTGAAATACACAAATGCAATGTCATTAAAACTTTTGATAACTACTGAGTACATAGAACAAATCTGATTAAGATATCTCATCAATTGCCTTTGTAATATATTTTTAAAATTGTAAAGAGACAATATGGCCACCCTGTATATATTTATATGTGTTAAACAGAAAATGTTTGTGTGTGTGTGTGTTTGCGTGTCTGTCTGTGTGTATGCGTATGCATGATGAAATTATGCACACATGCTGCAGATTTATCAAGGTACTCCAAGACCAACGTTTCAATCTCCATGTTCCCCGGTTTTGGCAGAAAAATCGATAAAACTAAAGGTGTGTACGACTTTTTGCAAAAACCAAGGCAAAGTTATGCACGGACAAAATTTTTACTGAATGAGCTGATGTTCTTTGCACTTAATGCAAAGCTTAGCTCACGTTACGAGGTTTATGTAGAGTGCTTGATAGTTTTCCTGCGACGTTGGCTTCACACAAAAAATTGAAAAAAACTGTGAAAAAATTCAGGTTTTTCGTACTACTTAAAATAAAAACTTTAATAACTTCCTCATTTTTCATCAGATTTTCTTCAAAGATGTCACAAAAATTTGCATCATGCAAGAAATAAGATAGTGTTATCTTCCCCACGTATAACGAAAAACCACGAAAAACTGTCCAAAATCGTCCAAAATAGTCAATAGTTTTTTCATATGATTCCATCCCAAATTGGCATTCGAACAACCTTTGATGCAAAGATTGTTTGAGAAGGATTATTGAAACATTAAAAGGAAAAAAAATCCCAAAGAATCTCTTATTAACCCCAGCGTTACAGTAAACATGCGAAGAAGGAGGGGGCGTTCATGCATTTGCCCTTGCAGTTGAATCAAACTCTGATGCTTCACACCTGTTTTTGTTTAATTATTAGAGTTGTGACCAATGCCATACTATTTGAAAGTTATTGCGGCTATAGGAAATTTACTGAATATCTAAAACATCGAAACAATTTAACCCCCTAGCAATGACCACATAAGAAGGTTTCAGCGATGGAATTCCTTTATTAAGAACAATCAAACACTTGCGAAGGACATACCGTAAAAAAAAGATGAGAGGAGAGCTTCGTATATCAACGGATGATGCATGCAAGCGGAGACGCAGACAGACATTTCTAGACAAAGAGTGCAGGGTGGCAGTTATACAATTGAAGTCAGGTACACCCGGGCAATTCTGTGTAACTCGGCCAGTATATATATATATATTGTATTCGATGATATATATATATATATATATATATATATATATATATATATATATATATATATATATTTCGAGGATAACCGTCTACTAGGGTGGCTAGTCGATCCCTATTGCAGTTGCTTGCTCAGGCGCATTTGTGTTTATTCAACACCCACAGAGCGCCACTGTCGTTTATACTGTAACTATGCTGAGCTGACCTTAGTTACACTTTCTAGGAAAGAGCGTTTTATCAGGCGAGATCAATAATTTGAACAAGGCCAGCACGATCAAGCCCTCGGCCACGATGACTTGTGACTTCGTGCTAGCTAGTTTATCCAATTTCACCCACAAAGCTTGGGTCAAACTGTGGTATAGTTTTCAGGTATTTTCCAAAGGTGCCGTACGCTGGGATTGTCACCTCCAGCCCAATAACATCATAATGTGGACTTTATCAAAGCAAAATACGAAATATATATATATATATACGAATATATATATATATATATATATATATATATATATATATATATATAAACTAGAAATATAAAAATAATATGGAGATAAATCATATGACCAAGTCTTTCTATCACGTAATCCTGTTATGCTAGCTTTATATATTTGAGCTTCTAAAAATGATTTAATCGAAATTTTACTCGATTGACGTTATCAATAACGTGGAACGTATCAAAGAGCTTTGTGCAAAGATAATGGATTAATTCCTGTCATTGGTTTGTCCTCAGTAAACTCTGCCTTTTTCTCTAACAATAGATCAGAGTCGAAGAAGTCATCCACGTGTTGCAAGAAAGAAAATAGCCCAAGTCACCGACAAATATTAGGATTGCTTGCGCATTGGACAGCTTTGTGTCTTGCTCGACCAATAACTTTTCTTGCTATGAAAGTAGAGTCACCATTCGGTCTAACATTCCAATTCTTTAGAATTGATCCTTTTTAGGAAGGCAGCTCTCAAATAATGGTGAAATAAATAAATATATTTCTACAATAAATACTTACATTTTTATCCTGTTTCCTTCAACGCAGCTTGTAAGAAGAAACATTTATTTTTTTACCATTAAAATATTCTTTCTTTATTGTCCTTCTTTCATTAATTTTTCTCTCTTTAATTTTTATTGTTTCTTTGCTTTTCATTTCTTTTCATTCTTTCTTTTTTTATCACGTCTTTTTACTTACGTTCTTTCTTCTTGTTTGCTTTCTTTCTTTTCTTTTTTCTTCTTTGTTTTATTTTTTTAAAATCTTTTGGTTTATTTTCCTTCCGTATTTATTTTCTTCTGTTTTCTTTTTTCTTTGCCTTGTCCTTTTCCCTTCCTTTCTTCATTTTATTTCTTTATTTTATACTTTCTTTTCACTTCTTACTGTATTTCTTTCTTTTCCTTGTCCTTTTCTCTTTCTTTCGCTGTTCTATTTCTTTCCGTCTGCCTGTCTGTTTTTCTTTGTGCCTTCTTTATTTATCCTTTCTTTTTATTCCTTTTTATTTCTTTTCGTTTTTCTTTTGCGTTTTTATCTTTTTTTAATTCTTTTTTCTTCATTTTCAATTTCCATCATTACAACTCTTTCATATTTGATATCTTCAAAAACTCATTCTTTCTTCTTGTTTTCTGTTCGTAATTCTTTTTTCTTCAGATTCTTTTTCTTTCTTCTTTTCATTTTCGTCCCCCGCTATCCCATTAACTCTCTTTATATGATTTTCTTCCTCTTCTTCTCAGTTGTACTCTCCTCCCTTTTAATATTTTTGCTCTCTTTCTTTCGTTTTCTGTTTCGTTTTCATCTTTTATAATATTATTTTCTTTTTTAAATTCCTTCATTTTTAGGTCTTCAACAACATCACTATTTCTCCGTTTGTGTTTCGCTATTTCTCATTTTTCTTTTCATCATTTTTCATTCATTTTAATCCTCTTCTTTTACCATTTTAATTTTTATTCTCTTTCTACTTTTCATCCACTTTTCTTATTTTAAATATTTTCTTTTCTTTTCTTTCTTTCTTTCTTTCTTTCTTTTATTTTATTCTTTCTTTCCTTTTATTTTTTCTCTTTCTTTCTTTCTTTCTTTCTTTCTTTCTTTCTTTTTTCCTTCTTTCTTTTTTCTTCCTTAGATTCTTTCGTTCCACTTAATTTTTCCTCTTTGTTTCTTTCCTCTTACTTTATTCTTCCTTTTCTCTTTATACTTCCTCTTTCTTTCTTTCTTTCTTTCTTTCTTTCTTTCTTTCTTTCTTTCTTTCTTTCTTTCTTTCTCTTATTTTTGTCATTCTTTCTTTCTTTCTTTTTTGTTTCTTTCGCTTAATTTTCTCCTTTCTTTCTCTTAATTTTCTCCTTTCTTTCTTTCTTTCTTTTTTCTTTCCTTCTTTCTTTCTTTCTTTCTTTCTTTCTTTTCTCTTATTTTTGTCATTCTTTCTTTCTTTTTTGTTTCTTTCGCTTAATTTTCTCCTTTCTTTCTTTCTTTCTTTCTTTCTTTCTTTCTTTCTTTCTTTCTTATTTTTGTCTTTCTTTTTCTTTTTTGTTTCTTTCTCTTAATTTTCTCCTTTCTTTCTTTCTTTCTTTCTTTCTTTCTTTTCTCTTATTTTTGTCTTTCTTTCTTTTTTGTTTCTTTCGCTTAAATTTCACCTTTCTTTCTTTCTTTCATTCTTTCTTTCTTTCTTTCTTTCTTATTTTTGTCTTTCTTTCTTTTTTGTTTCTTTCGCTTAATTTTCTCCTTTCTTTCTTTCTTTCTTTTCTCTTATTTTTGTCTTTCTTTCTTTTTTGTTTCTTTCTCTTAATTTTCTCCTTTCTTTCTTTCTTTCTTTCTTTTCTCTTATTTTTGTCTTTCTTTCTTTCTTTCCTTTTTGTTTCTTTCGCTTAATTTTCTCCTTTCTTTTTTTCTTTCTTTCTTTCTTTTCTTTCATATTAATTTTCCTCTTTCTGTTTTTTTCCCTCTTAATTTTTCCGCTTTCTTTCTTTCTTTCTTTCTTTCTTTCTTTCTTTCTTTCTTTCCTCTTATTTTTTCCTCTTTCTTTCTTTGTTTTTTCTTTTCATTTTTGATTATATTTTCATATCTACATTACTTCTTTTCTAAAATTTTCTCCCTCTTTCTTTCTTTTATTTTTTTTTAAATTTTCACATTTAATTATATTTTATCTCCTTCTTTTGTGGCGTTACTTCATTTTTCACGCCTTCAACAACTTCATAGTTTTTTTTTCTTTTCTTCATATTCCTTATTCATTCCCCTCTTCTTCATCTCCCCACCGTCTTTATCTATTTCCATTCTCGATGTTCACATCTCTTACATTGCTCTACTTTTTCTTCATCACTTCTTCAGCAGCGCCATCATTAACATTTTTTTGTATTGTCATTAACAGAAAAAGGGGTGAGTACACGAAAAGAACACTGTATACAAAGAGGCTTACGTATTGCAGCATGTTTATTGGAAATCGGATCAAATTCCCGTATGCAATATATCCTTTACCTTACCCCTCACCATTTCATACTTAGAAAATCCGCGACAAAGTAGCAAATGGTTAAGAGAGGGATCGCTGTATTTTGACCACAATTCGATTCAATTTATTCTTAATACAGTCTCTGAAAAGACTTTTATGTGTCATTTCCGTTCAGTACATGAACGATTATGGCTCTTCACAACTTCCTATCATTTGTAGTTCTTAGCACTGTTTGTTTTCTGTACTATCCTTCACATTCTCTTTTCTGACATCCATTTACGCCAGCTCATTGGGTAGGTTGATCATGGCTCTCCACACATCCTATCCTTGGTAGCGCTTAGCATATTTGTTTTCTTTACTATCCTTCCTATTTTCTATTCTGTCATCCATTCACACCAGCTCGTTAGGTAGGTTGATAATGGCTCTTCACAACTTCCTATCGTTTGTAGCTCTTGGTTTCTTTACTCTCATTCTCATTCTGTATTCTGCTATCCATTTACACCAGCTCGTTAGGTAAGTTGATCATAGCCCTCCACAACTTCCTTTCCTTTGTAGTTCTTAGCACTGTTTGCATTACTATCCTTCCCATTTTCTGACCTGCCATCCATTTACACCAGCTCGTTAGGTAGGTTGATCGTGGCCCTCCACAACTTCTTCTCCTTTGTAGTTCTTAGCACTGTTTGCTTTACTATCCTTCCCATTCCCTGACCTGACATCCATTTACACCAGCTCGTTAGGTAGATTGATCATAGCCCTCCACAACTTCCTTTCCTTTGTAGTTCTTAGCACTGTTTTCTTTGCTATCCTTCCCATTCTTTGTCCTATCATCCATTGACACCAGCTCCTTAGTTAGGTTGATCATGGCCCTCCACAACTTCCTATCCTTTGTAGTTCTTAGCACTGTTTTCTTTACTATCCTTCCCATTCTCTGTCCTGCCATCCATTTACACCAGCTTGTTATGTAGGTTGATCATGGCCCTCCACAACTTCTTCTTCTTTGTAGTTCTTAGCACTGTTTGCTTTACTATCCTTCCCATTCCCTGACCTGACATCCATTTACACCAGCTTGTTATGTAGGTTGATCATAGCCCTCCACAACTTCCTCACCTTTTCTAGTTCTTAGCACTGTTTGCTTTACTATCCTTCCCATTCCCTGACCTAACATCCGTTTACACCAGCTTGTTATGTAGGTTGATCATAGCCCTCCACAACTTCCTCACCTTTGTAGTTCTTAGCACTGTTTGCTTTACTATCCTTCCCATTCCCTGACCTGACGTCCATTTACACCAGCTCGTTATGTAGGTTGATCATAGCCCTCCACAACTTCCTCTCCTTTGTAGTTCTTAGCACTGTTTGCTTTACTATCCTTCCCATTCTCTGTCCTGCCATCCATTTACACCAGCTCGTTATGTAGATTGATCATAGCCCTCCACAACTTCCTTTCCTTTGTAGTTCTTAGCACTGTTTTCTTTGCTATCCTTCCCATTCTTTGTCCTATCATCCATTGACACCAGCTCCTTAGTTAGGTTGATCATGGCCCTCCACAACTTCCTATCCTTTGTAGTTCTTAGCACTATTTTCTTTATTATCCTTTCCATTCTCTGTCCTGCCATCCATTTACACCAGCTCATTAGGTAGATTGATCGTGGTCCTCCACAATTTCGTCTCCTTTGTAGTTCTTAGCTCTGTTTTCTTTATTATCCTTCCTATCCTTTGTCCTATCATCCATTGACACCAGCTAGGTAGGTAGGTTACCAGCTTTTTCGCTCTGACCCTCTTGACATCAATATGTCCTCTGTGCGTCAAATTCTCCATACCCTTTTTCCTCATTATGTATATCAGAAATTTTCTGTCTCTTTCTGATTCTAATAATAAGCGCCCTTTTGTCACATTTTGCTTGAAACTTCCCTGTTTCTTGTCTTGCCAGGCCAATAAGTTCGATCTTCACCGTGTTTCTTTAATCTGGAGCTAAATTTGAAATTGGCTTTATCCGATAAATATCTGCAATCACCTTTTTTGTGCCATGTCCTATCAGGGCCTACAATCGGACAATCATCGTAAAGAGCCGCATAATAAACTTAGGTTTCTAATGACTGCTGCTTGAAATAGAGCAAGGAGATTACGGCTTTGTTCAAGTAACTGGAACAAGAAATGCTATTTTTTGTAAGAATGTTATCAAAGCTAGCAATACAAATACAGAAAGCCATACCGGTATTTTATATAGTAGAATTTTTTTTTTTGCAACGTGCTGACGCGTGTTGATATCCTTACAGTATTTAGTATTATTAAAATTATCGCTAATATTTTTTGTCGAGATTTACAAACCCTACGTTTCATTCAATATCGGAAACCAATCGATTAAATCTGAATTATTTGATTTGTTTGGTAAAATACTTTTGCAAAAACCCTACTTCGCGAATTAATAATTTCTTTAATTTAATTCAATTTTATAGAAAACAATATTTTTTTAAAAATTAATTTTTTTAAAAATTATTTTTAAAAAATTTATTTTTTTTCCTTTTTAACAGCGAAGCATCAATTCTTAGAATTTCTTACTCTTGAGCATGCAACATACAACTGACCATGCGTAAATATTTCTTTTGGGAGCCAAATTCCAAGTTTTTGAAGCATTTGGCCTTGTGATTTGTTTATAATTCTCATAAACGTTGGATGAACTGGAAACTGAATCCTTGTATATAAAAACTTAATGAAAAGATATACAAAAAAACAAAACAAAAAAAAAAAAACAAAGAAAACAATATTACATTTTTATTAAATAAATATTTCTTATTTTAATCATTAAATTGCTTTTAAAATAGTGGGAGTATTTGGTATTTTAAATAATAAAACTTTTAATACCCCCCACCAAAAAAAATGAATGAAAATTTATTGTACTAAGCTACACATCCTAGTAAAACTAACTGTACTTCTCCCTAAAATTTCGTTTCGATCGGTCAATGTATTGCTATTTTAGAGGGCGTGACGAACGGACGGATGGACAGACTAACGGAAGTCACATAACTTTTTATATAGATAGATTACACAGCCGCATTTGATAAGTTATGATGCAAAAACCTACTTGAAATATTAGAAAGGCCCAATTTGCACGAGAAAGATATTCCAGTAAACCGCAACTCTTTACTGGGGTAAAAAAAGCAGCCAGTATCCAAATAGAGACCGAATTCAGTGACTACACAAAATTAGACAGAGGAGTAAGGTAAGGATGCAATTTTTTAACCGGATTTATTTAACTTGTACATTGAGAAGTTCTTAAAGAGAACTAAGGGTTCTACCAGGATTTATTATTGTTAGCCACAGTCTCAAGATACACAGATGACACCGTGCTGGTGTCAAGTACAAACATAGAAAGGGTCGAAAGACAAGGTTACGTTTAGTTCACCGCATGTATTTGATACTAGCTTAAAAGCAACCCTATCGGGTGACATTTAAGCTAGCTCCTGCAGAGAGAGTCCTTGATTGGGCCTTCATCACAATAGGTAGGAAGGAGTAGATACGATAGGCAACCATAAACTACAGAAGAACTCAAAATTGATCGCTGCATTTACGTATTGCATTAATTTTACCTTTTAAAAGTTCAACGATAATTCTTCTGCTGTCACTTAATTTAAAGACAATTTGATGTACGTAGGTCCTTACTTTCCGTACAAACACTTACTTTTATTCCATGGGTGACTTTCGCTGGATTTCGCAATTAATTTCGATTATTCCCAAATTTATTTCCCAGTTATAAAAAGTGTTATCGTACAAAAAAATCGTCTCAAAAAATCACGTAAGAAAATCGTCGAAAACAATGAGAACTTGGGAATCTAAAATTTCACGATTGCGATTCCGAATCTGATCAGGAATGTTTTTAATTTGCTCACGGAGTCGGCTTGATTCCAAGATGGTATGGTATGTTTGGCTACGTCCTCTGGGAGTATATAACAGCCAGATGATCTTTAGAGAACTAGACTTCCTATCAGGATTTATCACTGGTGGACATAACCTTAACAACATAAGATAGGTAGATGATAATCTTTTGATAGTGAACTCTGAATAGAAAGTGCAACAATTCTTAGATAAACAAGAAAAGAACTTGAACTTATAAGTAATAAAAATATATACATTATTAGGTGGGAAAATGTATATGATGATTTATATACATTTATATATATATTATTAAATTACTAGTAATACTCAGTTGGTTTTTAGTAGTTTTATTAATAAATACTGTTTCATGTCATTTCCTCTTTTTAGTCAGCTTACCCTGAAGATGGGATTAGATGAAACCTAAGTAGGTTGTTCCTGGCTCTTTAGGATTTATTCCATTTATACATACATACATACATACATACATATATATATATATATATATATATATATATATATATATATATATATATTACGATAAACGTGCAATCAATTTACAAATACATGAATTATTCACACAAAACTAATGCAAGGTTAATGATTTAAATGGCTTTCCATCATCGTTCAAATAGTATACAAAAACATCCGTATCCGGTATAATAAATGATCCTTGTTTATAAAAATAAGAACTAATACGGCTTAAGTTTATATAAACAAGGATTCATTTGTTCATAACGGATACTTCAGGTTTTTGTATACTATTTGAATTGTTTGCGATGATGGATGTCTCGCCATTTAAATCATTAACCTTTTGCATTAGTTTTTGCGTGAATAATTCATATATATATATATATATATATATATATATATATATATATATGTGTCATTCGCAGTCAGTACTGTTTCGCTGTATCACAGCTCTTTAGTGGGACGAGACAAACGAATGCTTTTATGTTCATGAATGGTCAGGCATGTCTATAGTAAGACGTCTTGATCATGATATTCTACACATATCTGACCATTCGTCCATTGCGAATCATTTACACTAACATTCCTGCCCACATTCACAGTATAGAAAAATACTGACTGCTAAACTATTCTACCATAAGAAAATAACAAATTAAAACTACAGATCCTCGAAGCAATATCATTAAAAAATTGAAGCCGACACTGAAAAGAATCAGCTACGAATACTGTAATAATGTTCTAAAATGCTTATAAAAAGAACACTTTTTACGGTTTAATGCGCGCCCGACCATGGCATTCCAACATAAAAGGAAAAAATTCCATAATGGATAACTTTTTCTGTTCTAATCAACATAACTGTCAGCCGTTGCATTTAAACGTAAAAGAAAAAAAAAACAGTCATAGATAGCTACACATAGTTTTTGCCTTACCAGTTTCACCTCTGATGATGACCTCAGAAAGAGATGGAAAGTACTTGGGAAATAAAAGTGATTCTCACTGTTACAGTGCATTTCTTGGCTTATTCAATTGTAATATACGGAAAAATATTCGTGAATATGAAAGGATCATGATAAAAAAGCAGATATAATGTTTGTAATTTATGCAGTCAAACATGTCTAAAAGAGAATTTGCTGTCTAAACACACACACACACACACATATATATATATATGTATGTATGTATATAGCCAATCTCTGTTGCAGACGTCAGCTCAAGCGCACATCTGTGTTTGTTCAACACCCACAGAGCCCACCTGTAGTTTATACTGCAATTATACTGTGCGGGCCTTAGATACGGTTTCCGGGAGAGAACGCTTAATCACGATAATTTGTGATTTCGTGTTAATTGATTATTGACGCTTCCGTTGAACAGACGCTCGGTTTATTTATTAAACGCTATATTTATTGATTTTCATCTATCAGCCTAAATATTCGAGTAGACATGTTAAAGAAAAATAAGCGTTCTCCGATAGAATTCAAACCTATGTTCCTTTGGCAGGAGAAACCGACGTTAGATCCGGTGTGTTTTATATATATATATATATATATATATATATATATATATATATATAAAAAAAAAAGAAAGAAGGTGCCGCAAACTTTTTGGGTTGTAATGTGTTTTTTAGAAAAAAATATTATGCTTTATTTTCCATAATTTTACTAGACGTGTTTCTGGTCTCGTGACCGTCTTCAGGTAAAAGCGGAGATTTCCACATATTATTAAAATCTCCGCTTTTACCTGAAGACGGTCACGAGACCAGAAACACGTGTAGTAAAATTATGGAAAATAAAGCATAATATTTTTTTTTTCTAAAAACACATTACAACCAAAAAAGTTTGCGGCACCTCTCTTTTTTTTAATATACATACTTTTCTCTAGTTGGAACCACTACAACCTCTTTTCTTATATATATATATATATATATATATATATATATATATATATATATATATATATATATATATATATATATATATATATTATATATATATATATATATATATATATATGAAGAATTATTGGGTTTTATTTTAATCTGACATTATTTCTTATTAATGAAAACGTTATTTTAGTGGATACACTTTGTTTGAGCAGACACCCTGTTTTTTTTTATTTATTTCTCTACCGGCCTGCGTATTCGAGATACAATAAAGAAGAAAAGGTTCTCTGGCTGAGTTCGAACCGCCCTGTCACTTTGTAGGAGAACACATATTAAGTATCTTTAAAAAAATATTTATAAACATTTTACACTGAGCGTCTATTCAAACAAGAAGAAACACACACACAGACATATATTAAATGGTGCAGTATAATTAATATTATAAGAAGTAGTCAGACACACAGACATATATTAAATGGCACAGTATAATTAATATTATAAGAAGTAGTCATACAAAGAATAAAGTTATCAAAATCAAATCAAAGTACTTGCAAATGGACTGAACATCTGAACCATTTTACAATTTATAGAAATAAAGACATTAAAGAACCCTCATTCAACGAGTGGTTAGTAAGTTAATGCTTTATTAAATTTGTTAGCGAAGTGAATTCGCCATTGATTACATTAACTTTACTGATTTATTCTTTGTATGATTACTTTATAATATATATATATATATATATATATATATATAGTTGTTTTTTCTGTTTTCCTTTTTTTGAATTTGTAGGTCTGATAAATTGGATCGTATTTACGATTCTAATGGAATAAATTATGACCATGGAATATTAGTGTTAAGCATTTTTATTATATATATATATATATATATATATATATATATATATATATATATATATATATATATATATAACATCAGAAAGAGACTGTTGAGGTTTCTGGGGCATATAATGAGGAAAGAAGGCTTGGAAAATCCAATACTCACGGGGCAGATGGGGGGGCAAGAGGAACGGAGGAAAACAACGCATAACATGCTTAGTGAGCTTGATTAAATGGATGTCAGAACAGAAATTAGGAGAAACAACAGAAAGACAAAAGTTTAGAGACAGCTACAAAGGACAGGAAGTGACAGGAGGACCATGATCGTCTACGTCCGGTGGGGCCAAGACACATAAGGAAGAAGCGGGAAAACATATCTAAAATATTAATATAAGTATAAACAAGAAACTATTTTTTATGTGTCATAACCCTTTAGAACATAGGAAATCAAGGCTCTCCACAACTTCCTGTCTTTTGTTGCTCTAATTAACATAAGATTCTTTACTAACACTCTTATTTTGCCATCTGATTTACGTAATTTAGTTAAGTAGGTTTCTCGCTGGTTCTGTTCGATTCTCCTGTCACTAGTATGTCGTTTGAGTGCTATATTCTCTTAGCCTTCTTTCTTCATTATGTGTCCTAGGCATTTCATCTGTCTCGGGTTCTTTTTAGTTTCAAGTCCCCTTAAAATGCGAATACATAATTACCTCTCATTAACTCCAGGCAGGACTTGAAAAAAACTCCCAAAAATCATGTCCACATATCGAGTTTTCCCGTTAGTTATAAGTAGTGATATTGTATCCATCACCAGCTTGCTATGCGTGTCGCGTAGCTTACAGCACCTGATATTCTCCAGCGGTCACCCCTCTGAGTACTGACCAGGCTCAACTTCTCTTTACTTCGGTGATCGAGCAAAAACTGGTGTTTCAACATGATATGGCCGTAAACAAACTAACCGACCCTAACCAGTATTTTTCAGTGTATTCATCGGATCGTTCCATTATGCTGGAATACACAATTATGTTGTATCTGGAATTTCTGTGCTAACAGTTTCTTTACTAGGTCTTCTCACTTCTGGCGCCATGCTTTCTAGAGAACCTTAACCGCCAAAAATTTAAACGCAATGTCTACCGCTATCTACTGTCCTCCTGATTAATCTTCCCTTGCCCCTCGCTCCTTAGCAATTGTTCCTATTTTTTAACTCTTCCACACCCCGTAAACTATTTCGTCTCTGTGGCTTTACTGCCTTGCTTGAAGTGAACATGATTATATATATATATATATATATATATATATATATATATATATATATATATATATATATATATCTCGCACATATAGTGATGGTGTTAATAAAACAGTGTTCGATGTAAAATAACAGAGCTATTAAGTATATATTAATAAGTATATATATTACCCCTCTGTTGTGGAGTGATTTAACAGTGGAGGCTTGTATTTGTACTAAGTCGGTCCTAAAATAGGTTCGACGTACAAAACATTAGGAACTTGATATAATAGGTAATGACGCAGAGAAATCTAGTTGTGGTCGTTGATACTTTAGTATCCGACTAACTATCGTCCGACATCGACTGACTGACCAACTCACTGAGCGATATTCAGTCACCCCCCCACCACGAAGGCATCATAAATATGCCCTTTTAAAACCCGTATAAACGGGTTCAGGGTCGGTTTACCTCCTCGAAAGAGACTCCGCCCTTCGGCGTAACCTCGTTCGGGTTCCTCCCCGCCCGAAGGCAAAGAGTTCAACCGGTCAGCCGGTCGTCCGACTTCAGACTGAACTCAGACTAACTCACTGAGCGACCACTCGTTACTCTTACTACTCCCACTTATTATAGGTGGGAGAGTCTATTAACTATAGAATAGGTGTGTTCCACTATAACACCCTCATCGATAGCAGGGCTTGTAGTTCATACACGACGCAACCTTCAGTTGCTGAGAATTAACTGACCGTTTTATTTTGATTTTTAATGCTATTTTTAATGTAAATTAATCAAATATATACTTATTCAATTTTCTTTTTTTACATATTTATATAAAGCCCGCTTATTTTAATTGCCAAATATAATTTAGAAGTTTTAAAATTGAAAACTATAATCCCAGCATAATATATAACTACACCAACATTATGATAATTCGTTTTATTATAATACAAATTGCGTAACGGTCAGTTCATACCCAGCATCAGAAGATTGCGTCGTGCATTAAACTCAGAGTTGCGCTAGCGGTGAGGCATAATCTATCTATCTATCTATCTATCTTGTTTATACGTTATTTTAATAGATAAAGTTTATTTAAGTAAATGGTCTTTTTTTTTTTAATTAAACAGTAATAATTACATTTACTGAATGTTTGAGAAATTTCGTAGAAAATATGCGTTCTCCGACAGGAATAGAACCTGTGTCCTATACGGAACCGTCAATTGATCTGACGTACTATACTAATAAGCTACAGAGAAGCGTCTTGTTAGCAAAGAAGAAATTACTTTTTATAAATAACAAATCTTCAACGATCTTTCCCGAACGTTTATATGTTTTCGCGAAACGTACCTTAACGTAAACATTGACAACATATTATGAAATGGATTAAGTCCGACAATTATTTAATATATTTTCTGTTTATACGTTATTTTAATGGACAAATAGAAAATATATTAAATAATTGCCCATTTTATTACACACACACACACACACACATATATATATATATATAATTCTGGCTTAAATAAAAAGATACAAGATAAAATAGTGCTATTGAGGTCGATTGTGAAATCGCCAGTAAAGCATGAACTTTCGTTAAATCTTACGAACCTAACCTAACCTAATGCTAACCATCACTGAACCCAACTCCAAGTAAGACTTGAAACTTCAAAAGTACGCTTCATAAGTTCTTCTGTTAGTATAAATAGCGAGATTGTATTATCGCCGGTTTGTTAGGCCTGTCGTGTAACTTACAGCACCTGGTATTCCCCAGCGGTCATCCATCTGAGTACTGACAATGCCGAACGTTGCTTAACTTCGGTGATCGTGATATGACCGTGACAAAAACAAGCACAACAAAAACATAATCGTAATAATTGTGGCATTTATTATCGATTTTGACGAATATTTCTTTCATCTTAATTTCTCATGCTTTTTATCGCTACAATTTCTGTTGATTTGTTTTTAATTGATTGATTAGTTTGTCTAAAGGCATATCAACCCCTTCATGGGTTATTTTATGCGGAAATTTAATTTTCTTGTGAGTTTTGAAGTAATAAAAATATATGTTATTCTGCTTTCACAATTGAATACATGGTAGATGATACCCAGCTTTTGTGTTAGTGTGGACATCATTACTAGAGGCGGTGATATATGTGATTTATGTTGTAGTTTTGTTGAGGTTATATTTTGGAATACAGTTTGATTTCTTTAAGAAATGTAGGATATTATATGGATTAATGTCATGAAAGATTTCTTTCGTGTTGTTGGTGGTTTGATTTTGTTTAGCGGTATATTAACCTCTATGGGTTATTTAATGTCGAAATCTAAATATTTTGAACGTAATTTTATGACTTCAAGTACAGATAAAATATATTGTTAGTCGTTTTGCTATAAAATTTATTTCTAGTAATTCTGCTTTGAAAATGTATTGTTAGTAATTTTACTATAAATATGTACCGTTGGTAATTTTTTTTATATAAAAATGTATTGGTGGTATTTTTACTTTAAAAAAATATTTTTATAGTTTCATAGTATTTGGGGGCTCACTATTTGCCCATAGCTGCTCCCACCTCGAGTTAGGGTTGACCGAGGAACAACTCGAATTAAGAGGTGGTTCCACACTCCTCAAAAGTTCCAATTTCCCAATCAGCGGCCTTGCTGCCGGGTGTAGTTTATCATCATACCTTGGATTATTCTTTTTTTAATTATCACGGCGTTGCGATAAAAAAAAAAGGCAACAATAAATTAAGGTGAAAGAAACACTAGCGAAAAAAAAATAATAATCCCTCGTAATATTTTATTTGATGAATTTTAATTTTTTTTTCTAGATTTTACCCAATACAAGGATTTTGATAGAAAGTTTACATATGGGAAAACGATATATGAATTTTCGTATTTTGCTTTGATAAAGTCCACATTGGACGAAACGCGTCATAAATGTTTATATATCAAGAACAAATTTTTGAAAAAAACTATGACAAAGTGGAAAAGTTTTTGGTGCGAAGCATTTCGTCTTTTAGGACATCATCAGACTAAAGTGATGTTTATGTTGATTGTGACTACACATACGCATGAAGGAGAGGGGGACACCGAAATTTTAACTTTAAATTATTCTTTTTAAAGATTTGCTTTGGGTATATAGTCTAGCCAATTTCAGTGGTCTTCTTTTTCTTTTCGTTCAGGTTTCCATCACTTTTGCTATTAAATATCTCATACTGCGATAACAGATCTGCCAAGAAATATGAAATGATGCACGAACGTGGGCGTAAATTTACCGATGATCTAGCGATTAAGGCACTTCATATACATTTTTGTCTTAGTAAATGGTTTTCCCTTTTAATTAGAATAGCATTTTTTAAATCAAAATTACGATCCGACTCATTACGGTGAGCAACTAATAAATTTAGCGTGTTATTTTGTAAAAGATCCCTTTTGTGTTCATATAATCTTTTATTTACATTTCTTGAGGTTCCCATTATGTATTCCTTGTGGCAATTATAGCGTAAAATCCTCCTTCAAGTTTTAGCTTATTATTTTGATTTGTATTAAACACTGTCGACATAAAGATCAATACTTCATGGTGACTGTCAGTTTCACGTTGCAATATGATCTTCAAACCAACTTTGATATGAAGATCTCATTGATGCGACTAGCTAACAAGCTGAATTAAAACGTTGGAAACTACTATTATTTGTGTCTTCATCGAAAAAAAAGAATGAATCATTAGAAATGCGTCCATTTGTGCAGTATTTTCCTTTCCTGTACCGTAACACTAGACTCAAACTACAGTAATGTGTTCAGTCCTCATTGGGGACTCCACAATTGATCAGACAAATCTAATCTGAGTAAACTTTCATAGCCGACCATTTTGACATTGTGTTTATTTTTTCCTTCTTTTCTCTTTGTTGTGTCACGACTCTCTTTTTAATTTCAAATTTTATTTTTAAAATTCTTTTAAAAATTAAAAAAAACAAAAACAAAAATAAAGAACCTCCATCTATTATTTTGTTTTGCTTTTTCTTTTACATGTCTTGTTTCTTTGTAAACATTTCAAAAGTTCCTGTCATTTTTGTCTCTGTTTCGTAGATATTTTCTCGCCCACCAAAAAAATCAAAAAAAAAAAAAAAAAAAAAAAAATCTGTGCTTAAATAACACAACAAATCTCCTTTTTTTTTGGGTCAGCATTTTTCCTTTTTTTTTCCACAAAAAAAGGATTTAGACGAAGAATATCAACCTCCCTCTATCTTTATCTGTCACTCATTATGAACAAGCACACACACACACACCACACACACACATGTACACATACATACGCACATACATACATATATGAATACTCGTTATTGCCAAGATCGGCGCCATTTTTATTGAATGAACCAGGCTTTTAAGAAAGTATTTTAAAACTGCGTTTTCATAAGTGTCCTTTGCCTGTATCATTATTCATATCTTTTTCTTTGTTTCTCGTAGGTTTAATAATAAATTTTACATTGATTTCATATTTATTTTGCTGATTTTTTGTTACTTTCTTTACCTTCTTGCAACACTCCACATATTTTTATGTCTTCGCGTTGATTTACAAACATTGTATATCTTCTATATTTGTCAAACGTTTTATGCCAATTTTAATATTAGATATATAATATATCATATCCTTATTTTACATATTATATCGTTATATCCTCATATCTTTTTTTAAATGTTTCATTCAACCGAGAGTAATATTTTATTTTTAAAACTGCAATTTTACAAAGATAATGTTTTCAAAATAAATGCTATATAAAAGAAACGTTTTTTAAAGGAATGCTAAATTTTTGATTGAAATTCGCACACACACACACACATACACACGCACACACACACACATATATATAAATACATACATACAGGGTACGATGGATAAATTTTCGTCTGAATTACGCAAAAATGGAAATAACACTGACATCTCATTTTAACAGATATATTTACACAAAAATATCTTGAAATAACTAAAGTGTAAATTTATTCAGTGAAATCGCCATTGGTGTCAACTACGGCCTCCAGACGACTTTGGAGTTTCCTGTAACTCTTCTGGACGGTCTCCTTGTTTAAGTTGGTGAATGCTACCATAATCTTTGCCTTCAGTTCATCTTCAGTATTACAAAGAGTTTTGTTGGTCTCTCGCTAAACTGCGCCCCACACATCATACTCAAGGGGGTTGCAGTCTGGAGAATTAAGAGACTAAATGAAAGGAGTGATGCAGACAAAGAAGTTGTCTTATAGCCATGACTGGATTCTCCTACTTGTGTGGCATGGTGCAGAGTCCTATTGCCAGACATAGGTTCTCCCAGCATCCACCCTCTTGACCCAGGGCAGCAATATCTCCTCAAATCATTTAATGTCGGCCTCCGTGTTGAGTCTGAGGATCTGTGGGAAGATGAATGGAGGCGTAACGTCGCCGTCAGTAGTGATTACTCCAAACACCTTCGAAATCACCATTGGACTCATCCAACTCTTTGCGAATACTTTGCACTGTCCTCAGATTGGCACTCAGACACACCGGCGCGAATGCCAAGCAGTACAGCATGCCATTTCCAAATTTCGGGAAGGAGTGAATTGCGTCATGGTGCTCTTTTTCTCACAGACGGTGACCAACTGACACTACTATACTCGTAAAATCAAAAACAAACAACGCGCATGCGCGAAATCAAAAATATAAATGATGATAATTTAACCGTCGTACCATGTATATAAAAGTAGACACGTAGGACAAGGCAAAAGTCTGTTTCATGCAAGATTGCGTTCAAGCCTGAAACAGGCTGTCACTAAAAAGCTTTGACCACAGTGCCTACTTTTATATTTACATACATTCTATCAAGGATATTGAGCACTTTTACCAATAATATTGCATGCTTTAAAGCTATATTTTGAATATATATATATATATATATATATATATATATATATATATATAAAAGAAATATAATGTAGTGGTTCCAATGAGAGAAAAGTATGTATATTAAAAAGAAGAGAAGAGAGGTGCCGCAAACGTTTTTGGTTGTAATGTGGATTTATTTAGAAAAAATATTATGCTTTGTTTTACATAATTTTACGACACGTGTTTCTGGTCTCGCGACCATCTTCAGGTAAAAGTGGAGATTTCCACATATTATTAAAAAATAATTAATTTTTCCTCATATTCAATGTTAAATATTCTCGATATGAGACATTTTCTGTTTGTGGGGTGATGTGGAAATCTCCACTTTTACGTGAAGACGGTCGCGAGATCAGAAACACGTGTCGTAAAATTATGTAAAACAAAGCATAATATTTTTTTTCTAAATAAATCCACATTACAACCCAAAACGTTTGCGGCACCTCTCTTCTTCTTTTTTTAATATATATATATATATATATATATATATATATATATATATATATATATATATATATATATATATATAAGTAGTAAAAGGTTTCTTACTTAGCTGAATGATGTTATTTTTAGCATTCCGACTCCAGAGTTTCGTAGACAGACGTCCGAAAATCACTCTGCCCATAGTGTACGTATGCGTGCGTTCGTGAGCGTGTACCTAGGTTGCCATCTGCGCGTATGTGTGTACGTGTAGAATGTCGTGGTTATTTTTCCTTTTCGTTTTTTTACATTATACACTCACTCATTATTGATTTTTTTCACCTTTTCTCTTGTTTTCTCTTTTCTTCAATTGTAACTATTTTGACTTCCTGTTTTCCATACATATACCGTCTTTATTAATTACACACACACACACACACACACACATATATATATTCTAAAGAAGTAATGGATTTTTTATTTATTAATGCAACAGATTTTATC